TGCTTCCATTAGTCTGTAAATCATTGAATCAGATGTTCTGCAGCAGCCTGAGCAGAAACCTACCAGAAACACAGGAGAAAAAACACATTGACTTACTGCCTCCTACTGGCGAACTGCAGCAACTACGTATTTGTTTCTGAGTGATTTGAGTTGAACAGGTTTCATGTTTCTGATTGGAACATTTTTCCAGAAGTCAGTTTGGAAACTTTTTCCATTATTTTCATCATATTTCTGTTCAATTTTGGATCAAAAGTGTATTTTGTGTTAAAACAGTATCAGCTCTTAGTAGAGTAAACATGAGACAGAGGCTCCTTTAAAAGCTGCAGAACACTGAACAAAAATTAAGATCCTTTAGAATTTACAGCAGCATCTGGTGGTGGAAGTTATTCTGGTCAAAGTTTACTTCTATCTAAATCTATCAAGAAAATAGCTAAAGTGAAAACAGAGATTATCAGAGTGAGAAGAACAAAACTCAAAATAAGTTTAATTTTTTATTATTCATTGGAAAAAACAACAATTCTAATTTTCTTACACACAAAAGTTATTCACACCCAACCAGAGGCAAACTCACACAGTTTCCTCTATGAATTAAATATAAAACACAAAACATCACAGTTTTTTCTTCCAAACCACACACACCCTTCATTTTGAAACAAGTACACATTTGTTTTAAAAAGCAGAGAAACAGTCACATATAATCGGTTTGTCCCAGCAGGTAGTGTTAGTTTTATTATGGCTGCTCATAAAAAAAAAAAAAAGTGTAACTCACCCCCAAATCCTCTTTCTTCCCATTTTAAACATATATGCTGGGTCCATGAAGTAGAATTTTTATCTTACTGTGCATTTTTCAAAACTCTCATTGAAAACTTTTTTTAGGTCTGTGATATCCAGTCTATGCTGAATCCAGATAGTTTTCAGCCTCACAGATGTATATATATATGTATATATATTTTATTTTTATTTTTTTATTTTTATTTTTTTCTATACAAAGCTGATAAAAGACAACCGGTGGGAATCCAGATACAGTGAAGGGCTGCAGTGACACCTCAGTGCAGGAGCCATTATGGTATGTTTGCTCCTGTGTCACATGGCTCCAACATGACGTGTGGTGTGGCTGTTGCAGTGGCGAGTGGAGCATCTATTACAAATGCGATCCTGGAAAACTCGAATCAACAGTAGTACTACTTAGTACATGCCAGATAACTTGTAATTGCTATTGTAGCCTCAACACAATTTCAAGCTAAAAACCTGACATTAGCTGTTAGCATCTACAATCCAGCTAACTATAAAGCCTTGAGCTGTGAAAAACAAAAGAGCAACGGAAATGTTTCCCTGCACACCAGAGGTGCTTCAACCTGCCGCTGAAGGAGCTTTGCAGATCAGACACAATCCTGTGGTGGAGCTGGAAAAAACTACAGCTCAATTCAATCATCTACCGAGATGATGTTGGGAAATGATGCTGTCATTCCATTGGGCCATCTAGAAAATAGCTGATGCATCTGTGTTTTTGCAGATCCTAAGGAGCTCCCACTGCACTCAAAAATCCTCCAGAACCACTACAACCTGCCGTGGGCCTTGACGGCAGGTGTCAAATCCAGCTCATCATTCAAGTACTCAGATGTGTGCCAAGCTTTAACTGGAGGGATAGGGAAATGATGGAGTCCTTTGCATCTCTGGTACTAAAAGTTGAAACAAGGCAAATACCTCGTGCTCTGAGGAGGGAAATTCTCTCGTTATATGGATGAGTGAAAAACCAATTGTGCTTAACATGATCCCGGTGAGTCACAGAACAAAACGCATTGAGCATTTGGTCCTGGAGTTGGATTATTGGCCTGATGAGGCAGGGGAGTGCCGTTCCTTTGGTTGATAAAGCGTAGCGGTCCTGTACACGTCTGGCATACTGTAAGGTTGACTTGAGAAGCGTACAGTCTAGGATTATTTAATACAAAAAGAAAATTCTAATATCACACTCTGTAGTTCTGAAAATCTAAGAGGTATTGAATGATATGCAACTGAAATTAAATGAAGTTACACTCAGCTCCCCTGTCTCCTACCAGGTGCATCTGCTACCACCAAATGTGTCAACATCCCACCTGGCTTTATGGCTCCTCCACTCAGAGTCACTTTAAGAATTAGTTTTTCGTTTGAATATTCCAGTAATAATTCAGTGTCCTTCTGGTGGAATCATGTAGCTCAGCGAGATCGTCCGTGGTGCTGATTAAGGACGTCAGAAAGACTCTGTCACCGGACTCCTCTTGAAGATCTAATGGAAGCTGAAGACCTTGGAAACTAGTGGGTTTACCTCCACAATGAGGATTCTTTGAGAACTTCTTTTTTTCTTTTGGTCAAAGTATCATCTGATAAACAATATAAGGTCAAGCTGACGAAACCGAACTGCAATGAACCCGTTTGTTGTTCTTGATGAGAGCGGAAGACAGGCAATGGATTTACTGGATCTGGAACAGAAGTCAGAACTGAAACAGATCTGGATCTTTAAAAAATCCCTTAAAAAAAATTCAAAGGGTTCTGAGTCTGAGATCGGGTGGTAAAATCAAGTGTAACAGGTTTTTTTTGGAAATCCTGGCCGGTCCGGACCTGCTTGGTCTAGTTAAAGTGCAGTTAGGTCCAGTGACAGTGACTAAGTTGAGGGACTCAGTTGGGTCGTATGTCGTTATAGTTCTTTACAACCCCAGAGAACCTGATGGTCCGTATTTCCGCTTCTCTTTGTTTGAAGTCCTGCCACAGGTATTCAGGTGACAGAACCTTACTTGGCTTGTTTATCCACATGTACCTGCACACATACACAGGAAATGACATCAGCACATTATACATCCACACCTGACTGGTGCCCACTGCCCCATGTTACCTGTTCAAGTGACTCTCTTCCTGCCAGGCAGCCTCAATGCCCTCCTTGGCGTCATCTTCAAAGTTCTTCCGACAGGTCTTGGCGAGCTGGAGAACTTCCGGTATTAGGCCTCCGAATGCCCCCCCACAGTAGTAGAAGTCACCCTCATCAGGCGCTACATAGGCTCTGGAGGAGGTCCGCCGCTCATACGGGAACTTACTGCGGTCGTTCTTGTAGTAACCTGCAGAAAAGGAGGGAAGTCGGACATTAAACTCACGTGGACAGGCAGAAACTTGACTTACCAAGAATTCACTTCATACAACGATGATTGAATATGACTGAGTTGTTATTAAGGACAAAATACTCAAAAGACTTCAAATAAAGATCCCATTAAAATGGCCACCCCCAAACTAAATAGAAATGTTGGTCTCTTCCATCCCAACACCACAGAGTTAAAAAAAAGAAAACTGGAAGTACTACCTGGATGGATCACAGCCACCAGTCCACCCAGTGATTCAGTCCCCCAGCGATCGTGAAACTTAGAGTCCACATCCAGACAGAAGATGTAATCCACTTTGTTTTGGATTTTCTCCTCGATTAGCTTCTGGATGATTTCCATCCGGCGGGCGGAGATTTCTTGCCAGCGATTGGAACTTGGTACCGGTTGCACAATCAGCTGATGGAGGAAGATGGGGACAAGGTATTTAATCACCAAGAGCGCCTTGATCTTTTCAACAACGTTAGGGTACATTGGCAAACATCAATGTATTTTAATGGATTTTAGTCCATTAAAGGGTCATAGAATGATTCTATAGGGTATTTGGTGCTGGTCCTTAAGGTCTCTGAATAGGGTGTGTGTTGTGGGAAAGTTTATATCTTTCTCTCATTATATATTAATATTCATATTTACTCACTATAAAAGTTTTC